CGGGGTGTCTTCTCACTTACGCGGGTCTGGGTCAAGAGTCGGTCGGGCCCCGAACGCGCAGTTAGCAAAGATTGTGAGTAATAAGAATATTATACGTTAGCCGCTCGCTCCAGTTCACTAGAGCCGGTGGAACCGGACGGTGGAAAAGCCAGCATATCCGGCAGCGCAACGTGTGGGTGTGATGAATCGAATTTTACGCGGCTCCCTTTCCAGGCTTTCGCCTTCTTCTATGTGGTTCTGTTTTTGTAGCGGTATGGAGTTAATGCCTGGTAGGATGCTACCCCCTGTGATCACAGGAACCCTGTTTCACCTTAAGATTGATCGCAGCCGACGCTACGAGGCATCCTGAGCAGCGAACGTCTCGTGTAACTACGCGCCACGCGCGTCTCTGGGCCCCTCCCGAAGGTCAGGTGATAGTCGCATCATATCGGATTGGTTTCGCTGGCTCGTAGCGTCCCCCGCCTTCTATGCTAAGATGAAGCCGGGTATTATCGCAATGGGAGCGCAAATTTCGAGAGTACAAGCGTGCCAATGAGACTGAAGGCCCGAGGCGAGATTTCCCTTCGGGCTCGCAGCACGGGCATGTCGGTAGAGGGAAGTTAAGTTATCCAATTAGCTCGGGCAACTTTAGACGCGTCCAATTTGAGGCGGTTCACGACAGGATTCTCGCCACTCTCAGGCAGTAATTAGGCGGGAACCACGGACCAAATGTCCCCGCGCTTTAGTCAATCCCGCGTCCGCCTGACCGGTTAGATGACCAGGTATTCAAGCTATAGACTAACGAGAAGTCACTTCGTAATTTTATGCGGCTTTCGGGTCCTTGGATTGGAGCGACTGGCGGCGCGTAAGACAACACTGTCGTCCAACAAGGGCAGCCCCCACCACCGCTGGGGGATGAAGCGTGCCGAGAGACAAAGTGGAGATTCATAGGGAGCGACATTTGCATTCGTTTGACGAGCGGCACGACTAGAACTGAGCTCGCTTTGAGACTTTGGATCGACTTCTACAGTCAATACACTAGAACACAAGACTACGCTTTCTATAACCTCGGGGTCTCACCTTCCGCGTCAACTGGAGTGAGACTTCTTTTGTCTCGAAGGCAACATTGCTGACCTCCGGCATGATGACTAGGGTTACAACCTGTTTACTCCTTTGGCACATTGTGCCGCCCCTTCACCTCTGGGGCCCTAATCTGGACACTTGGCGAGAAAGAAGGCGAGAAATCCAGCGGCTCTGATTGGCCGGCGCCAAGGTCAAGTGCGCAGTTGGCCAATCACGGCCGTTAGATTTCTCGCCGACTTTTTCGCCAAGTGTCCAGATTAGGGCCCCTGGTCTCTCGCACTCTCGCCTGGATCCAGTCCTTGCCTGGATTCAGGGGATCAATCAAGCAGCCTTGAGACTCACCTGCTGGGTGCTAACTCGGCAGACACGACAGCACGAAAAAGGACCGGAGCAGTGGAAACTATGCTGCGGCCAGATTGTTGCTCATGCGTCTATGGAGGCTGCGTCGCGTGCCAAGCGACGATGTCTCGATCGGGGCGGAGAGCGGTCACGTTTGATGGTGCCCATCGTCAAACGCGCTTCTATGAAGACCGTCGAGGACGACATCATTGTGCAGGTTTTTTGGGCGTTGGCGGGAAACCAGCACCTGCCAGTTATCCGCATTACTCAGTAATGAAGTGCAGAAAGAGATCAGAAGAATTGCATTAACGAATTTCTTCGCTTAGCCGAGAAGCACATGAGTTGCCAGAATACTTCATGTAAAACATTAATCAAACCATGATAATTTGTTTTTTTACGCTGAAATATGTTGTGAGTGGAAACGATAACAAAGATTGAAGGCGAACGTGGAGAACCGAAAGCATAAAATATAGTGAATAGATTTTACTTTTCAAACTCTAGTTTTATCTTCGGGGAAGACATATATTGTACCAAGTATATATTGGTTCAGACAGGGGGAGGGATGCAGATGGTCCAATTTCTAACAGCTTCTCTAAAGTGTCATGCGTAGACATTTATGCGCGAGAAGGAACTTAATATTTGACACGGTCCGTTTTGTTGCATAACCGTAAGACACGGATAATATTTGTTTTTGAAAATGAAGTGTTCGGTCGTCAAAGGAGACTGCTAGTCATCCGAATAACGAGGCATCGTACATGGAGACGTGCCGAACCGCGAGCCTCTAGAAAACAGCCATGAACAGCCATGCACCCGGCATGGCGCAGTCTAAAGGGTTAAAGACGAGCAAACTGTTTGCATTAGAAATGATTGGACTGAAAATCGGTTCAAAAGAATGATGAACCTATATAAAATAGAAACCGAAATTGATGGTCACAATGATAATTTTTCGCGAAGTTATTAAAGTTTAAACATTGGTCCGAAAGGCTGAACGACTACTGCGAACACTGAAGGTATGATATCAGTATTTGTGATAAGGGAAAATATAGGGGCACTAAATATTTTTTCGGACAGGTTTCCAGAAGTTTAACATTGTAACTAAAACTCAACCAGGAAAACAAAAGGGCAAAACTTAAAAGCGTGCGCAAAATAGTATTTTCTAAAGTGCCTCCTCGATTTGCAAGTGATTCAACATGTGCCGTCACCCCACTGGAGAGCGCGGAAATATTTGAATTTTGGTCTTCGCAGAACCTTCATCTGCTGTTTTCTCAAAATCTACTTTGAATTTAGAGATAACAAATAGCATGCCAAAAACAGTAAACGAAGTGTATTCCGAAAATTGATATAGGAGTAGTCTATGTAGCTAAAAAACAATCTCCGGTTAAGTAACACGTTTTCGCTTAATTCGCGTGAATAATTTAGACAACTAAATGCCGCACGTGTTTCTTTTTTTAAACTCCAGTTGCGGTTTCTCACTGGGCGTAAACTGGACCATTTTATAAACGAAAATGCACTTTTTAAAATTATATTATTTTGTATTTTTGCATTAGTTTATGCAATATGAATAGTTGTTTTCTAACTAGAGTGAGCGCCATTGACTTGGCAGTGTCTTACAATGACGAAACACGCAGAGACAGTTGCAACACCCGGAGTGACGGAACGAACATCAGAAAAGCCTAGAGACCAGCCAGACCCTTTTTTTCCCCTTCTGGTTGACATTCGCACGCACGCAAAGGGCACGCTGTCTCTTCGAGTGACAAATAGCGGAAGGTCGCGCGATGAATCAGAATCCCCATCAACCAGTCTCCCAGACTAAGACCTCTGTCCATATCTACTTCCCGTACTTCGTCTTAGGGCTGGGTTGGTCTTGCCTTTTGGGAATGGCCGAGCTTGCACTGCCTGGCGCGTATTCGTAAGGAGTCGTAAGATTCTCAAAGGATTCGTGACGTGTTTGGATAGTCAGACTGACATTTCACAGGAACTTAACGGCGGTCGAAACGTATATTTGTCTTTCTAATTTTAAACTAGAAAACACAAAAAAGGAACCGTTTGATTTGTGTTTTTACATGGCTTGCCCAATGGTTATTGTAAATAGCAATTAAATAAAAACGGCAAGTCGTTTGTTTTTAGTTGAGCCGATTAGGGAGCCCCACAATCTAAATAAAACAAATAACTTTTTTTTTTTTTTACAAACTCATGTTTGCGTTTTTAAGTCATAAAATATATTAAACTGGTTCGGTTCTGTTTTTTTTTTTTTTTGTCAAGTGGGATTTTCTCCCGTTATAGAGCGGTTCACAGTGCGCGGAACGTTGAGTGCCACCGAAAAAGAACTGGTTCTCCTGAATAAATGCAACCAGGACTGTCTTACGGCGATGAGTCATTCGTCTGATCGGTATTGCTATAGTGAATAGAACAGAATCCTCAAAAATTCCCAGAAGTCGCAAATAAAGAAGAAACCATAAACGCCCTGAGTCAATACGCAGCAAAATGTGAGCACACAAACTAGCTGGTGTATTTTAACCGATACGGTAGGAACCTCGAGATTGCAGGCTAGGAAAAGATAACGTGAGTTCTTAAACTCACTCCCAAGACTTTACACGTAAGTGCGTTGTCCTTTCCTTGCTTACAGTGGCGGGATCTGTATATCTTCACAAGCCAATACTCGTGTTGAAGAAAAGTGAAAGATTACTTAGTTTTCCACCTCCAAACACATTTTATGGTATTTTTCTGAAACTGCTAGAGGTTTTCATTGGAGATGTAGTTTAGTCAATCTTATCCCTACCAGTCAGTCAAATTGAAGGAAAGGCGCAGTTTATTTTTTCTAAAGTAGGTTACTACCCATATTTCCAAATATATATAAATCCTTCAAGGGTCTTTCTAAGGGAAACATCGAAAAGAAGCGTACGCCATTATTACGATTAATGAGCCAAAGCGGGAGTTTTCTTTCGCATACCTCAAAATAATAATAATAATTAAAAAAAAGTGCAGTGAAGTTGACTAGCATTGCTTAGTCAGTGAGCGAGTCCTTTTACTTCTAATTTTCCTAACGAACACAGGCAGAGCCAGGAATGACGCGGGAGATAATTACTCCAAGAAGGAGTCTCGAAACTCCGGAAACAGGAAACTTACCGGAGCAAGTTAATAAGCGAAGCAAAGCAACACAAACCAACGAAAAGTTAAGTTTTCGAAACATCGTTACACAGAATACGCTCAAGTTTCTCATAAGACACATATGTAATTGTTTCATAAAAAAGAAAAACGAAAGACTTAAAAATCTGTTAATATGAGCCATTGAGCCTACCGGCAATTTTCATCCAAAAACAAAGGACGCCGAAGACAGCGCAACAGCAGAAGACACGGGGGATAAGCACTGCACTATTGCTCATCGAAGCCAAACAATACGTTAAACATACTACTCAATTTTCAATAAATAAAAAATATTATTATATATTTGAAGAATACCATAAGCCCTTGGTTTTCGTGAAACTAATGGCCATCCAAAATGTCCACGTCGTCCGAAGGTTCCTCGGTGGGAAAAGGACAGGAGATGGGCGCGTATACTGAGGGTGCACTAAAGATACGGTCGTGGATCGAAGGCTCACCCTTTTTGGTGGCTCGGAAGCTGTCGTCCTTGTCGAGGCGCTCGATGTGCGGCAGGAGTCGAGACCGCAGCAGGACCCCGTTGTCGTTGTTGATGCGGTCGATGGCCACACGGAAGGCGAACTCCTGTTCGTCATCCGCGTTGTCGAACAGGCCACCTGCGGGGCAGAGTGGTCTCTCAGGCCAAGCTATGGGGCTACACTTGAAACACGAAAGAACAAAATACGTAGGGACGGACACCAACCTGCTCTGTGCTCATGTTCCTACTGGGCTAACCCGAATGAGAATTGCGAGGTGCGCGGGTGGAATCGTCTGTAGGGATTGTCGGTTCGACTCGTGCTATGATATTCGGGCATAACTTAGAGACACCGGTCGCTATGGTCACTGGCAACAAGATGCCGGGTCGCGTTGAGTGCCGGTGAGCGTACTCTTGAATATGGCTCAGAAGCCATTGGGTTTGCGGCATTCGCCGATAAAGGCGTCGATGAACCGGCCACGAAGGAATAAGCTTCGTCATAAAAAAGACGCACTTTGTGTTGCTTCTTTTAAATAAATAAACAGCGTCTTTTTATACGAATAAAATAAATGATAAATAAAAAAGTTTTTCTCTTATTTTAAATAAATAAATAGTGTATTTTTTTTCATTTTAATTACGTAAATAGTCACTGTCAGCATAAAAAATGCAGGGTGCGGTTCATTATTAGGTATCCATGTTTTCGGCGTTTTTCTTTTTCTATCAAGTTCGAGAGTATTTTCTGAAGTGATAACTTTTTCACCTAATCGGTGTTTTTCGGTGTAACTATTTGGCTTTAGAAAAAAGTCGGTGTATATCAAGAATTATGCTTGGTAAAAATGAAATAAAAAGACTTGGGATTTCTTAAATTTAAAGAATTTTATGCATGTCCCATATATCGGTAAATTGTTCTTGTATTGATTACAGAAGGACACAAAACATTGGGAGTGGTTCCGAAGACAAAAGCAGCCTCGCGGAAAGTTTGTTTGTGTGTGTGTGTGTGGGGGGGGGGGGGGGGGGCGGTTTTTGTTCCGGATCAGCACGATGAATTAAAGCTGTAGATAAATATTCACTTCTCGAGGTGCTTCGATTTTTTTTTTTTTCATTATACAAAGGCCGCTTTAATTCGGTTTTCTTTTTTCTTTCGATTTTTCCAAACTACATGAAACGGGTTTGAGAGTTAATTGTCGAGGCTTATCAGTACTTACCGAAACCACGAAACCCTATTCATTATATTCACACTTCTCCGCGGTTCGCTCCTCGGGGTTCCATCAGCAATTGCTACTATCTTTTTACTTGTGTGATGAGTTTCTGAAGCTGTCGGAGACTAAAACCGGATAATAAGTCAGGGGCGTGAAGCGTTTTAAGAATCTCGTTATTGCTTCGCAGCAAATCAGATTGCAGTATTAGCCGTTAGTAACGCCGAGAAGCAAACAAGAACTCAAGCAGCTCGAGCGTAAAAAAGACATGCCCTGTGTTATTTTAAAATAACCTTGAAATTTTAAAAATGCTATATTTATATTAGTGTACTTTTAATTGTACATATCTTTCCACGAATTTTGTTTTTCATTATATTTAGGCCGTTAGACGCATTTTAGGTGGGGGCAGCCCTAGTGAAGGCCCGGACCTAGTGCTTAAATTTATAGCTAAGCACATTTTCTCGGCTCTCAAGGCTGGTTCACATTCTGGCGACCGACTCCTACACAACCTGTTTATAAGCCTCCTATGACTGCTTACAACAAACAAAGCAGCGGCAGCGATGGCGGTCGTAAGAGGTGTAAGGCTAGTTTTGTCGAAGTCGCACTTAAGTGCGCGAACCAGCCATCATTTTTGGGTAGGTGATGGACGTATGAGATGTTGGTTGTAAAATCGTTTCTCCGTGCCGTAATATTATTTTAATCGACAACATATGTATGCATGAGAAACAAAGAATCAAGATAGAGTCATTACGTTTTCGAAAATATCCCGAGATTGCCTCTCCGCTTCGGTTTCAAACGACAGCAAACATGGCTGCCGGCGTTTGCGCCGTCCTCAACGAGCTACGATCGTTGAACTCGTTTATCTTTCTGAGTAGGAATTATTCTGCGTTCACCGAGGTGTTTAGAGGAACATCTCCTTAACCGACCTAGTTTGCAGCAAACAACTGTCATAAGTACGCGCCTTCGGAGGTGCTGTGCGGATGCTTGGGTTTGTAGAGGGACTGGCCCAGTCCTAGCGTCCCACTTCAACTATGTTGCTTGATCTGGCTCAATTTGTTCGTTACGAGTGTTGCGCCTGAATAAAAATGTTAGTTCCAGTAAACCCGATTTCGCTGCTCCATGAATTGTGCCACGGTTGGGATTGCAACCATGGTTTTAATACGGAGAACATAGCTATAGTCAAGCAAGAATTTGCGAGAGATTTGGCAGGAGGCAATCGTGTGTTCGGCTCGCATCACGTTTGTACAGGTTTGTCCCCGCCATTTCGCTTCGAAAGGAAAGGAACTCTCAAGTTCTGCAGTGACCCTGGACTGCAAAGGCAAATATTTTTAGGTCCTGTTTTAATGGACCTTTTCCGAGAAGCGTTTTGCGCACGCGCAAGCGTCCGATGCCAAGCGGCGGAAGTCGGAACGAAAAATCGAGGAAATTCGGAAGGAGGCAAAGGATAAGCGAGTAGAACACGTAATTGCAGCATATATATAATTGTGTTACACAAAAAAAAAGAAAGTGGACGGAAAGAAAATCACGACTTTTAGGTGGACGCCACGGATGCCCATCTTTAAAGTCGGCATGCGCCGCTGCTCAGAGCAGTGGGCACGCGCCGCTGCTCAGAGAGCGAAGAAACTGGTAGCGTAGTTCCCAGTATCGAATGGTAGCGCAGGTAGGTCACTTCCTCGATTTTTAGTTCGTGCAGCCACCGCCTGGTTCCGTCGGTATGTGGAAAAGGTTCATTGCGTGTGATGATGTTTGCCCATCTTGCTGCCAGATGTCATCCGAAAAAAAAAGAAAAAAAAAAACAAGATAAGAAAGAAAAGCTGGAAGGTCTGAATATTTATATCGTTAATTTTTTTAGTCATCTCGGTGACTTTTTGCCGCACATCAACATACGCCGACAGACGCTTGTATTGGACCGTGGCTCAAGCATGATAGAACGCTAGAACGCGAATGGCCGCCTTTTGCAAGTGGTGCAGAAGTTTTTAGACGGGGGCGGAAGAGCAGACGATGCCGGAGGCTGCCTCGATGAAGGTAGGAAGCCTGAAAAGGTAATATGACGCAACCACCAGAAGTGAAACCGGGGGAGACTTCCGGTTTGGAGGGGCACACTTCCAACGTTGACCAAAACCAAAGGATGCTATTGGACCCTATTGGACGGGCTTCAGCACCCTTGGGAGGCGCTCCTAGTGACCGCCACCTCTACTTTCGGCTTCACTCGGGATTTTCTCGTTTGGCTGGTTTCAGCCGCGGTATGTCGCCTCCTCTCATTTCTACCTCCATGCTGCCGCGCGTTTGCTCGCACGACTAGCAGGCGATGTCTGACTACTGCACTAGACGCACCGGATGTCGCGAAAGGCAGACAATGCGCGTAGAGAGTGAGGGAGATGAGGGGGGAGGCGAGAACGCTGATCTTTGATTCGAATAATTAGTGAATAGACCTAATGCCTTTGTCTCTACTGCACTCGTCGAACGCGTCCGTATGCGAAAGCCAAACACCGGACGCCGGCGTTTCGCGTTCTAAAGCGTTTGACGAGTGGAGTGGACACAAAGGCTTCTAGCTTTAGCTCTACTCACAAATCATTTGAATAAAAACTCGGTGTTCTGATCTCCTCACGCGCTCGCGTGTCTTCCACTCTCTCACTGTATGGGCGCATACACTTGCGAATGTCTTCTGCCGAGCAGCCATGCCAATTCAGTAGTAATGGGCAGGTTCACTTATCTGTGAGCGGGGCTTAGAACCGGCCGTGACCTCCACCTAAATTGCGTCCAACGCCGTAAATATTGCAGAAAACAAATAGGTTTGGCGTAAAAACGTTATGCGGAGCGGAAGTTTGTTTGCTTCTTGTGCAGGGTTTGCGATGATGTCAGAACGCCGAGCTCTGATTGGCTCTCATTGGAAGGATAGTGGGTAGAACCTCAAGGCGCCCAGCATTGACGTCTACCCACAATCCCATCAATCAAAGCCAATCAGAGCTCGGAATCGTTCTGACGTCACCACAACTCCTCCACAGGAGGCAGAATAATTAAGGGAGAGGAAAATTGAAGGAAAATAAGTGTCTAAACTATGCCCTTCATAAAAACGTTTTTATATATTAGTTTTTTTTTTTATGGTGAGTGTGTCTATACTTACTTCTTTAGTCACTTGCAACTTAGTAAACGCAGGCCGTGACTCATTGTACTCATGCCCTTAACTTCGTGATCCGTTCTTCGGCGTTCTTATGTGTTCATGCTTCATGCCGCAACCTTATTGATCTCTTAGTGACATTAAGATTCATACGACTCATCACTCCCAACGTTTCTCAAGCTGTCCTTGACTTCAGACAAGTACAATGCCCAGGGAGTCTGTGACGTGTTGCGAATTAAACCTTTACTCTCTGCATAGATGTCACATGTGTTTCTTATGGGTTTTTATTCAGGCTATGCGATAAGAAAAAAAAAACACCTAAAAAAATATATGGTCGTGGACATGTTTTCGTAATTTATAGCGTTCATGAAACAAGAGAATATTTTCTCCGGCAGAATGAAATTAGTTTGAAATGAAAAGCACTAGCTATCGGTGCTTGTTTACTAACCTTCGTACCATTAATTTTTTCTTAAATCCGTCAGTTGTCGAATGGACAACCTAATGTTAGCGGTTGCAATGACGACTTTAGTGGGCCTTTTGTCCGCACAAGGATGATCAACATCCGTAGGTTACGCAACGTGAAAGTAAACAAGCAGCTATATAGTAATCGCACGGGCGTACGAAGTATATTTTAGTGCGCAACGCATCTAGAATAAGTGTTGAATCCAACAGAATGTTTGGTGTTAATATCGTACCCAACCAATCTTTGCGAGTAAGAATGTTCGAAACTGCAATTAGACGGTACTGCTTATTCTATCGCTTTTCCTACTCAAGTGTTGCAATTACTGCTAAATCATCGGGCGCGTTAATTAAACTTTACGAGTTACA